ATTTATTATTTGATCGAATGAAGAATTATTTACCGCATATCAATATTATCATCAACAAGTAGAACTTGACATTTTTTTCCGACAGGGTCATCCATACTGGTAAAGGAATTAATCATGATCTCTTTCGTTAACATTTTATCAGCTTCCCAATTATTTATTGACAATTGATCCATTGCTTCATTAGTTTCAGATGTACTATTTTTTAACCATTGAGAACTCTCTTCTAAATAAAGCTGTTTATTTGTGTATGATTCCTGACAATAAATAATTGGGTCTTCAATGTCATTAAAATGTATTTTATCTGCTGGTAGGTGTTTGCATCCTATTGGAAACCAGCATTTAAACGTCGTCCCTTTATTAACTACAGAAGTTACAGTGATATCTCCACCATGGAGCGTAATAAGTTCTTTGACGATAGCGAGGCCTATTCCAGTACCTTCATGACTACGTGAGCTTTGAGATTCTACACGATAAAAACGTTGGAATATATTTGGAAGTGCAATTTCCGGAATACCAACACCTAATTAAAAATCAGTCATTCAAATTAGTGATAAGGAGAAATAGAGCTGATATGTAAAGTATATTTATGGAAATTATAAATAGCAAAGAATATTGTCACCTGTATCTATTACTTCAAGAACAAACATCTTTTTTTCATCTCTGTAGTCAATATATAAACGAATTTTTATATGTCCATTCCAAGTATGCTTTAGCGCATTAGAACCTTTAGTCAAATAAAATATCTTAGTATAATAAACTTGCATGTTTTAATTAGTAGATAATGCGAAAACGAATTGACATATTTTTTGAAGATACTTACAAAGATTAAATACGATTGTTTCATACATATCATGATCTAAATAAACTCTATCACTAACGACTTGATTAAATTCTTTAGGAATATCTATAATATAATCTAACCCTAATTTTTTGGCCATCTTTTCAAAATCTGAAACCAATTCTCGGGTAAATTCAGCTATATTAGTTTCACGATAACGCACATTTGATTGATCTGATTCTAAATTTGAAAACTGTTATAAAAAGTTAATAGCCTAATATAAAAGTTCTGAGAACACAAGTGTATTTATTAGGTCACTTCATTAAATCTTCGGTTAACATCACGTCAGTAACAAATCTATTACAGTGTTTTAAATAGCACAGTAAAATTCCGGATTATCCGGTAATTTCAAAACACTGATAACTAACTAACTTCCGGTTCAAACACTATCAGAAATTTAATCTAAAGATTTAATTGAGTTTCTCGAAGCTAATTAGTTGGTTAATATCAATGTTTTGTGTTTATATTAGGGAGGGAATTTTAAGCGAAGCAAGTGTATGGCAAATTTAATTGGCTGATATAAATTATGCATTGGAAAAAATTATCCGGCATTTTAATTGGTTAGTTGATTTTTGAGCAGTCGAATGAGTGGGAGGATGTTGTTAACTGAAGTTTTAATTTAGAAAGGCCTTATCTAAATTGTTATAAAATATTATTATGACTAACTTACTTGTAATAATATGTTAATTAGTTTAAGTAATCTATGAGAATTACGTCGTATTATTTGAAGAAGCGACATTATTGGCGTTTCTTTTAGACATATATTAATTACTTCATCAAGTGGTGAAACCATTAACGTTAATGGCGCTAAAATTAAAGCAAAGTTTAGTATATTTGTAAAATGCATATTAAAAGAACCTTTTATAAAAATATTGATACTTTTTAATTCATGACTGATGCCTTGAAAAAACATAACTTTTTGGTGATTTAAATCAGCCAATATTTTAGATTGCTTCTTTTCCTCTTCGATTGAATTTCCATATTGCAAATATGTATCCAATTGATTTGAGACGAGCTAACAAATTATAAATTATTTTCTATAATAAAACTAATAACAAAAGTTAATAAAATTTATCATGCAAATATTTTTCATACATTCAAAAATTCCATATAATTCTCATCAAGTGGATGAAGCCGATTAAGACCACAAATTAATATAGCCGGTAAAATTTGTCCACCACCAAGTGGAACTTTTGTCAATAAGAGAACAGCTTGAGATTCGTCTTTTAAAAATACTTTTACATGCTTTCCTTCTTTTATTACAAGTGATATTGGCCAAGAATCACATTTTAAGTACAAATAAGTTGTGGTTCGCTTTAGTTCTATATATGTATCGTAACTCTGATTTGCATCTTTGTCTGCAAAATTTGTAAAACCGTTTGCAGTATAATTCATCATCTCATCCAAAAGATCTTCTGAATGTGATAAACTTCTATTCTCGAATATAGCGGTAGCAGAATGATTAAAAAGAACAAGAGATACAGTATCTCGATCGGGTGCCATTTGCCCAACTCGTGTTGATTTTCGTGAATTTTTTCTAGTTTCGATAAATGTAAATACTGATTCTATAACAGCTCCAAGTCGGTTATTATGTTTGTCTTTCAAACCTATTAACATAGAGTTGGTACATTGTGGTTTACAATCATTAAAACCCATTGAACCACTTATGTCTACCACAAATATAATATGAAAATTTCCGAAATTTTTTGTTGGACTTTCACATGAAAACTAAAATATTTGGATAAACTTTATTAGTTTAATTAAAAAATTATAGGATAGCACACTGATATGGAATTATAAGCCTACTTGATGTCCGTCAATTGAAATATAACCAGTACCATCTGGAATAATTTCAGACTTATGATCCAAAATTGGATGAAAAATTTTTTGTATACAATAAGATTTTTCTTTGTCATAGTGTTTTTCATCAACGCAATGATGATCACATTTTTTGAATTCTTCAAGATCAGTATAAGGATCTGTAAGTTTATGATATTGCATTAACTATCAAATTTCAAAATTATTATTATTTTTTTTTTTTAAAAAAAAAAACACGTATAGTACCTCTAAATCCTGTTCGTTCCCAAAAAATACAATGAGACACATAATCTTTTTCTTTTGATGGATTAGGGCTAATTGGTGCTATTGGTTAAAAATTATACATACAATATCAATTATCAAATATATAAATTAAAATTTAATTATGTTAATTAAATATAATTTAAGCACCTGAAATATGCTCAAATGAGCCTTCACTTTTGGCTTCACCGGATTTACAAACATCTGGAGTTTTGCAATAATCTATATGACGATGGCGCCCAGCATTTTCACATAACTAAATTTTCAATATTAATTAATACCGAATGCATAAGACAACTAATATCAATTTAATATATCACGCGCCCGGACGAGAGTCCTTAAAATGTGCCCCTGGTTATCCCGTAACTTCATACATATCGATACAGCATGGTCAATTTTTAGGGCTGGTGACAGCATAAATTCCTTCATAATTTAAAAACTATCACAATTGAGGATGAACTCTGGGCCAGAATAAACAGATTTTGCCAAAGAACTTTAAAAAAAAATGACAAATGAAATTTCTGACATAGGAGTAGTAGTTGGCTAGTGCTTCTTATTTCTGATCCAAATCTGTATTCCAACCCAGAGTTTTAGTAATTACTCTATAAGTTCCTTTATTTAATATGTTGCTTACTTTATGGCACAAAACAAAATCTCCTCTGTCACCAGCAGTTAATCGATGACCTAATAAAAAATTTTGTAATTTGCTAATATTAAACAGGACATGCAAATAATTATAGTGGTTCCATTTAGCAAATTAAATGATAATTGAACCAGAATTATTATTTGCTTGACCTTATATTGCTGAAATATTTATATGCACATTCACATTTATACACGATACCTTCAAATTCAAAGTCATCATCTTCACATGTAAATGTTGTTAAATACATATTTCCATGAGTAGTTGCTAATAAAAATAAATAAATAAGTATGAATTACTTAACAAACAATAATATTGCATTCATGCTATAATTACAATGTTTACTATTATCCACTTTTTCGTGTCCATAAGGCATTGTGCACTATAAACAATTAAATTAAATATTGCTATTAAAAAGTTAAATCGCATAATAATACTTACATAATAAGCACAATGTGGACATTTTTCATCACAAAAATGAAAATTTTGCTTATTTTCTTGTTCAATTATATGCTCATCATCATTTGGACATCCTGAATTACATTTGTGAGACTTTTTTATTTCATGAACATGTTTTTGTCCAGTATGCTCAAACTGGTATGGCGGGATTTTCACACAGCAAGGCAATCTTTGGTAAGTTTGCAAATACTAATCAAAATGCGAAAACATAATAATTTTTGTTAAGAACGTTATAATTAAAATAATGTGAACCTTTTTTAAATGGGAATGGCTAAAGCCAGGTGCATTCATATAATTTGATTATTAAAGTTAAATTAGGTAAGGTTAGTTAGGAGTTTGGGTAAGTCTTATAGGTAAGATTGCCTTCCCGACATTTTTTATTAGACTGTTTTTTGTATATCTTGTATTTTTCACTTTTTTCTTTGTTTTATCTCGTCGGGCTGATCTCAAGTTAATCAAAATTTATATATTGACTGGCTGTTAGTCATCCAAATGCACCTGGCTTTCCTTTAAATGCACATATATTAGCCCCATCTTCAATAACAATGATAAAATTCTTAAAATGTGTGCATTTACTGAAATTTTATCGTATATGTTATAATTGGGAACAGAAGTTTAAGTGAGTTTGGAATTTTTTAATATTTAGCGTTCTAATTTAAAATTTTAATTAAAAATTCCAAATATACTTAAGTTCCATTCCCACTTACGATATATATTATTCGGAATAGTTACTTTTGTATACATAAACTTTCCAAACCTATTGATTTAAGAAAGTTAGAAATTTAAGAAAAATTCGACATTAATATATTATATACGTACTTGTTTTCATATTCAGTTTCTTCTTGAACAATTGCTGTTGGTTCTGTTATAATTTTACATATCCCATCTTCCTCACATTTCTCTTGACAATCATGCTCTTCTCTAATAAAATTATAATAAATGTATAAGATCAAAAAAATATATAATTATAAAAATCATTCTTTTTCCGAAGAAGATGAGAAAGATAAAACAAAAAATAAAATCAACTCGTAAAATCTTTGTTTACCCGCAAAAATGAATCACATTTTCTTCAAAAGCATGGAAATGATCTTTATTGTCGCATTGTCGTTGGCAATTCTTTATCGGGCACTCAATTGGGCACACGTCTTTTTGACATTTATGAATATCATGTTCTATCTCGCACGGTATCTATTTTTTACACTTATTAATTTTGGGAGAATATAATATAATTTTTTACTATATAAAATACTTATTTACCATGCATTCGTTTTTGCACTCATATTTCCCTTTAATTGTTATAGCGTTTAACGAACACGGTTCTCCACAATAATGTATTGTTGAGTTACACTTATGAGCCTCATTTCCTTTTGTTTTCTCATGTCCATTTTCTTTTGCACATAAACCTCTTTGACAATTTTTTTTTCCAGCGTGAATACAAGGGGCACCACATGCATGTAAAAATGAGCATTCATGTTTTCCATCATGCGCGGCAAAGTGTTCACAAATTGGAGTGATTCCATCAGGATGATCTTCTTTGAATTCACATTCATGATGGCATTTGTGATCGGTTAAACAGTCATGGCTTATATCGTCTGGGTTATCGTCATGTCGACTAGTTTTGAGACATGATAATCCACATTTATAACATTTAAGACGACAAATATTCCAGAATAAATTGAGGCGGTTAGTTTCACGCTCGAGAGCAGAGTTGATAATAATAACTTCATTATTATCTTTAGAGAATCTTGCAAGATTCTTTTCAAACCATTCATTTACCCTTTTCAATCGACGATCGACAATGAATTTGAAAAATTTATTTAGATTGTTCACCCATTCAGAATCTGGAATTGATCCACGAGTATAAACTTTTTCCTCAAAAAATTTTCGTAAGTCTATTAATAAGTATTATGTGAATATATTTTAGTGTATGTCATTTATATTAATAATATTACAGAGAATTATTTTTTTTTGGTGACTATTCCCCAACCCCTAATCTTGACCAATGCTAACTTTAAGACCGCTCAAATGAATAATAATAATAAATAATTAAGTAATCAGCGGTGGACCTCGATAGAAAATTACATAGTTACTGTATAATAACTGTCGCAGTTGATGTTGAAACTTGGATTTTGATTTAAAAAAACTTTACTAAAAACTATATACGCTTATATTAACAATTCATTCGAATTTGAGCGGCCTAAATAAGGCAATCAAGCCAATCTTAATTATCGCAGAGGTGATTTTCGGAGAAATGTGTGATACTATAATCAAAATGATTCTATGTTTTACATGATCCAGCATTTTGTATTCTTAGTAGAATAGGTTTCTGTCTAAGTTGATTATCGTTAATATCAACCTCATTAATATTAACCTAAACTATAAAATGAATTTCTATATATTAAAATTATATTAAAACTCCTTCATATATCAACCTTAAATATGATAACCCATTATATCACTATCAACATGAATATAAAAGCAATTCAAATGGGTTGATATTAACGAGGATCAACTAAATATCGAATAACGTAAAATATCAAATCAAATTGACCTGATTTTGTGGATTACATACTGGACGAAATTTTAACAAAATTCCCATTCTCTTCGAATAATACAAGTCCGGTATCATGAACTATTTTGGTAGAGTCATCGAAGATTTTAGAGAGGAAAACATCATTGTCAGGAATTGAAGTTCCGTCATCTCGGTTCTAAAGAAAAAATAATTTTATGCTATGTGAGTTACTAAAACATACTGTAATATTCAAATCGTATCAATGAAATAATATTATATTTACTGTAAGATATTTTGCAATTTTATTTTCATCATTATCATTCTTTTGTTCATATCCAAATGATATAGCATTATTGAGAAATTTTTTCAACTCTAATGTTCTAATAGTCATCAATGAAGCTTTGATACTTCCCCAGTCACATGCTCTAGATAAATGTATAACAAGCTTTAGAATAATTTCATAAACAATAAAATTTTATGTTATAATACTTGCTGTAGTTTTGACATTATTATCTATTTATAATGAAATTAATAAAAATTTTTTTTAAGGAACCTTTTTTATTTTTATCTGATTGTACTGCACCTTTGCCTTTTCTAAAAACATTCGTGCATTCTTATATTGGGATTCTTGTTCATCGAGTATAATTTTAAATTCTTCAAGCGAAGTGTAAAATAATGGGTCAGTAAATATTGGCCAAGCAACTATCGACATATTGTTACGATATAATTTTGATATGAAGTTATCTTCCTTTTCCTAAAAAAATTTAATGTATTGAAAATTGTAATAGTTTTGGCGTTACAAGAGTAATAATAATATTAACAATAAAATACTTCGTTAACAATGTTTGCAAATTTTGAATGAAATTCTTCAACG